TACACAGGAATTAAATCTACTACATCTGTGGAAGAGACAAGAGAACAGATCAATAACACCAGTCAGAATAAGGACAGGATTGATAATAAAACAGAATGTAGAACAACTGCTCCTATGCTGAAGAAAGTTGAAGCTGAAGAAAAGTAAAACACGTCCACAGAGTCAAAGTACAGCCTCTACTATATACTAATTGCATTTAGATACTATCTCAAGAATAGATTTGATGCACTTGAACACTAATGATCAAAAGCCAGGTGAATTGTGGGATAAGACCAAGAACATCATACATAAAAAAAGCCAATGATAACTGAAGAGCTAAGAAAGAAAGCAATGACCAAAGTAAATGTCAGAAGAGATCATGAAACTCACTCTTAAAAGTAGAGTACAGCAAAAGGAAGAAATGATGAAGTAAAATAGCTGATAAAGATTTCAAAAGTGGCTTGAGAAGACAAAGTATTATTTACAATAAAATGTGCAGACTTGGAATTAGAAAGTCAAAAAGTGAGACTACACTGGGGTTTTTCCAGCTAAAAGAACTGAAGAAAAAATTCAAGTCTCAAGTTGTATTCTGAGGGCAAAGTATTGAACGACACAGGAAGCATCAAAAGAAGATGGAAGGGGCAGAGTCAGTGTAACGAAAAGAACTGGTTGATGTTCAATGACTTCAGAATATAGCACACGATCAGTAACTGATGGTACTGGAGGAAGGCCTACTACACTGATGAAAACAAGGTTTTATGAATTGACAGAAAACCAAGTGTTTCAACAAATAGATGCAATGCTGGAAGCACTCACCTGCTATACCAAGCAATTTGGAAGACAGCTATCTCGTCAATCGACAGGAAGGGAACCTTATTTGTGCCCGTTCCAAAGAAAGGTAATAAAACAAAACTTAGAAATTATTGAACAATATCATTAATTTCACATGTAATTAAAATTTTGCTGAAGACAATTTAAAAGTGGTTGCAGAAGTACATGAGCATTTGAACCAGAAATTCAAATAGGATTTAGAAGAGGATGTGCAACTATAGATTATCATTACTGACATCAGATGGATGTTGGTATATAAAGCACTGAACTGCATGGATCACAACAAATTATGGATAGCAAGTGAAGAATGTGAATTCCAGAATGTAATTGTGTGGGACCTGTACACAGACCAAGAGACAATTCTTGGAATGGAACATGGGATAACACATGGTTTAAAATCAGGAAAAGTGTCCACTGGGGTTGTATCTTTTTAATGCACTTATTCACCCTGTATGCTGAGCATTTAAATAATCCAAGAAAATGAGCTATTCATATCAGAAGAAGACTCATTATCAACCTGTGATGCACAGATGATATAAGCTTACTTGCTGAAAGAGAAGAAGAGTTGAAACAATTATTGATGAAGATCAAAGATATCAGTCATCAGTATGGATACCTCAACATAGAGAAGTGAAAAATGCACACAACTGGACCAAAAATCACCTTCATAGTAAAAGGAGACACTTCATTGCTTTGCTCCCCTTGCTGCTATGTTGCATGCCCTTAGTGTTTTGCCCTGGTGTGGTGGGGTCAGATTGAATACAATTCCCATATGTCTCCAGTATTGTCCCCCGTAGCGCTATGGGTCAGTGGGGGATATTGTGTCTCGTGATGGGGCCCAGGCCTATGGTCCTCTCTATGCATTGGCTGCTCTGAGCAGGAATACTGCTGTGTGCTCTAATCAGACATGTCCCTTTCTCTGAGCTGTAGCTTCAGTGCTGTCCTCTGAAGTACATTTTTCTGTGGGGCTTGACCAAGGGCAACGTAACTGAGAGGAATTACTGAAACCCAAATGAAGGCCAAACATGATAGTGGGATAAGAGGGGAATAAGGAAAGGGAAATAGAGGAAAGAACTAGGAGGCAAAGGACGTTCATAGATGTCTAAATACAGGCATGTATATATGTAAATATATTTATATATAAAGATAGGGAAATAGATCTATGTACATATACTTACATGTTAAGTATAAAGGCAGGAGATGGACATTGAGTCTCTACTCAAGTACTCCCCCAACACAAGAACATTTTGTTCTAATAACTCGGCATTCTGTGATGCTCACCTTCTTTCTGATGCAATCGCTGAAGACAAAATGGGTGCATAAGCAAAGGTGGTGAAGTGAAGAAAGCTGATGATGCCTGGCTATCAAAAGGAGTAGCATCTGGGGTCTTAAAGACTTGAAGATAAACAAGCGGCCATTTAGTTGAGAAGCAACAAAGCCCACATGGAAGCAGCTCACCAGCCTATGTGATCATAAGGTATCAATGGGATCAAGCATTAGGCATCAAAGACCAGAACAAAAATCCTATCTTTGTGAATGAGGGGGAGTGCAGAGTGGAGACCCAAAGCCCATCTATAGACACTTGGACATCTCCTCACAAAGATATCACAAGGAAGAGAAGAGCCAGGCAGTGTGCATTATAGCACCGATAAAATATACAACTTTCCTCTAGTTCTTTAATGCTTCCTCCCCACCACTATCATGACCCCACTTCTACCTTACAAATCTGGCTGAATCAGAGGAGGTACACTGGTACAGGTAAGAGCTCAAAACATAGGGAATCAAGGGCAGATAAACCCCTCAAGACCAATAATTTGAGTAGCAATACCAGGACAGCAGGGGGAAGGTGGGGGGAGAAAGGGGAAACCAAACACAATGATTGACATATAACACCCCTCCCCTGGGGGAGGGGACAAACAACAGAAAAGTGGGTGAAGGAAGACGGGATGATGTAAGATATAAAAATAATAATAATTTATAATTCACCAAGGGTTCATGAGGGAGGGAAAATGAGGAGCTGATACCAACTGCTGAAGTGGAAAGAAAATATTTTGAAAATGATGGCAATATATGTACAAAAGTGCTTGACACACTGGATGGATGGATAAATTGTTATAAGAGCTGCAAGAGCCCTAATAAAATGATTTTTAAAAATAATAAGTGGAGAAAAGGTTGGAGTTGCCAGGGTTTATATTTCTTTTGGACCCACAACCAACAGCAGCAATCGAGGACTCAAAATAACATACTACATTGGGGAAATCTGTTGCAA